ACTCACACATACACACATACACACATACACACACTCTCACACACACACACTTACTGCGTTTCCGGTGTGTATTTTGGGTGTGTGGCTGATTTGTGGGGTCAGAATCAGGGGTTCAGCCTGTAGGGAAACACAGAAACACAAACAGTCACACTGTAAATGAGTGCCACAAGACTTAAAAAGACTTTTCCATATTAAAAACTTTTTTTGTCCAATAAAATGTGTTCAATGAGAAGCAAAAATGCAGTCCTTACATCATCCTGTGAGAGGACGGGGGACGAATACATCTCAATCAGCCCGCCGAGCTGCGGAAGAAACTCCACATGAAAACTGACCACTTCTAGCTGAGAGAAACTCAACATAAGCTCTGAAATATGAAGAGTATGATGAGCGCTGTTGACAGCTGGTATGAGTTACCTGAACCTCTCTCCAGCCTCCTGGAACCTTTATATAGAGTTTACTAGTGTCAATAACGAAAGACAGCGTCCCGTCCTCGACCACAGACGACTGCTGTCTCATGGCCTGCAGACTCACATACTTCCTGACCTGCAGGAAAACATGCCATTCGTTACAGTGAAATACATATAGACATTCTGTCACGACTTTCTTTCTTCCATAGAACACAAAACAAGATATTTAACATATTTAAATGTTGCTGCTGCTCTTTCAAAAAAAAAAAAATAATATCATCGGATGAAATTTATAGTAATATATATTATATTTATAGTAATATTTAGTAGGGATGCACCGATACCGATACTGGTATCGGTATCGGGCGAGTACTGGAAAAAGTGGTATCGGTGCATCCCTAATATTTAGTATATAATCTGAAAACTACCCGTATTAATCATTGTAATGAATGGAATTGAATTACATTTCTTCAAATTAATACCTCATGATTGCTCAAAAAAGTCCAAATTTATAAAACCTACATATTTATTTCGAACAAAACAACATAGATATTACTTCATACAAAAAAAAATTATAATAATTTTACTTCCATAAACTTTCACTTTCAGATGCAAAAAGTGGTAACATTTTTTCATTGGTTATATCTCTTTAAACATTAATTGTAAAATTCAGAATTTATTCTGAAAAGTATTTAAAATGTATTCAGAATGAATGATTAAATGATGTGCATTTAAGGGTCTTAAAGCATTTGCAAAGTTTCATTCCCTTATTAAAAACTATGCATTTTTATAAATGATCTATCTCTTCCGGGTCAAAGCGGACCTGAACGCATTATTATGCATTAAGCAGTGCATCTTTCTGAATGAAAGTGAGCATGTTTGATAAAGCAGCGCAGGTCAGGTTGTTCTCATAGGCCAAAATCAACTATGAGCATCTTGAGATATCCTACGAGAAATATGACTGTATTCTGAAAACTGACCTCGTTTACTGCTGTGAACATCTCAGGATCTCAGTGTTTGCATAAGGACACTCGAGCAGAGTGACATTAAAGTAAATGACTGATGTATTTCACACGTTTGATGATACTGTTAGTGTTGTGTTTTCACTCACGGCACTGGAGGCCTCAGCGGCTCGTCCCGGGGGCCCGGGGGGTCCAGGAGGGCCAGGGATCATCAAGCCTGAAACAACATGAACTCTTGAGCGTCTGTGCATATCAAAGTGTGATAGCAGCAGAAGTGTTTGCCTTCTTCACGGTGAGATGAAGAGCTGTCGGGACGGTCAGCAGGGAGGAGCGTCTGAGGGGCTCCCTCATAACCTTACATCAACAACACATCACTCCTGCGTCACAGCAGGACATCAGGACGGCTTCAAACAAATAAACATGTGAACCTCATGACCCGCACCTAAGAAAGGGCTGCTGGCTTTAGTGACCTGGACTGGGCTGAAGATAACCGTGGATTTGTGGAAATGAGAAAAAAATACAAGAGACTTTTGAAATGTCAAATACTTTAAGGTTTTTCGTACCAGATCCGTGTTGTCCAGGAGGTCCGGGAGGCCCTGGCGGTCCAGGAGGTCCAGCGACGCCACTTCTCCCGAAACCCGGTGCACCAGGGGGTCCTCGTGGTCCTGGATGACCAGGGGGTCCAACAACAGATTCTCCTTTAGGTCCCTGCTGACAAAACCAACATTATTAGGCATTTCACAGCATTACTGTACATGTGAAAAGCCATCCACCTTGACTCAAAAACACCAGACTTGGTCAAATTAAAGGAATAGTTCAACCAGTAATAAAAATGATCTTCCAGTTATTCAAAATGTCTTTTAAATAATAACAGCATGTGGATGGAAATTAGTGAGCAAACAATGCTTCTAAAATTAAAATTATTATTATAATTTTTTTTTGGTGAATTAGTCTTTTTTTTAAAATTCATAATATATCATAATGTATAATTATATATTACCTGTATAATTTTAGTATAATTTAGATGCTTTTATAATTTGATTAATATTTTCAATCAGTTTTTATTTTTATATTTTCCATTTTAGTTTTAATTTTATTTAAATATTTAGTAATTTAAAAAAAAATGTTTTTGTCATTTTTAGTAGTTATTGTTATATATATATATTAGGGCTGGTAATTTAATGTGTTAATTAGATTAATTAATTATGGTGAAAAATAACGCGTTAAAATTATTAACGCATTTAACGCACTTGCCCCGCCCCAGACCTATGTGGGTCATCTGACATTTCATATAGTTAATTGATTACAAATATGAGGCAGGGCAACAACTCACTGTGTGATGGAGCCTAGAGAATATAGTTAGAATGTCCCTAAAATTCAAGATATGGGGCAAAAATGCCCCAGTTTGAGTTTTTGTCTCATATTTACATAGTATAGTTAAGCAATATCACACAAGCAATAAGTGCAATATCACACAAGTGCAAATGTGATACTGATCTTATACAGTTCAGTAAATAAGAAGTTAATATTGTGTTATTTTAGACGCAATGTTGTCTGTTTTTCTCAATTTTGCCAACAATATAAAGACAAAGCAGAACTGTTCGTCTCCGAGCAACACACAGCGGCATTTCATTTCTTAATGCACGTTTTGAACAAATTGGGTGAGTCATTTATTTAAAAGCATCTCAACCCGCTCAGAAGCAGTTCAGAGTTGTGGCATAAGGGACACAATGTCTCTGTTCCTTCCATCAGGGAATGAGGGTTGCCATATGTAACTGAGATACAACCTATGGACTCACTAAAAGGGAGTTCTACATAGGGAAGGTTTCTGTGAGGACAACTACCAAGCACTGAACCAGGCGACAGACAGGGAAACACTGAGACTCAGGGAAACACTGAGTCTTTATTAGGAAAATGACAGTGGATTAATTAATTTCCTTCCTTGAAAGGAATAGCTTGCAGGGTCACCACTTGGTCCATCAGGGGAGTAGTGGCAATCTTTGGCATGCATCCAGGCCGGGGTCTCAGAATAATGTAAGAGTTTGCTGGCCCGAATTCTAGGCACGTTTTGTAAACAGAGAGGGCTTAGATTTTTCATCTTCTCAGTGAGTATAGTCAGGAAGACATCTTCGTAGAGAGGAACTAATTAAACTGACTGGAAGGCTCAACGGATCTCTTTCTGTAAGGCCTCAAGGCCACTGAGAGATCCCAAGAGAGGATGAGGCGCGTTCTAGGAGGATTCAGCCTCTGCGCACCTCATAAGATCCTAATAACCAGATCGTGCTTCCCCACCAATCTGCCACTCACAGGTCCGTGGCTCACCACATACACCCTGAGTGTAAATGCAGAAGGGTGTCTGTCCAGGCCCTCTTGGAGCAAGGACAGCACTGATCCGATACCACATCTCCACGGGTCCTTCCCTTGGGAAGAATGCCTTTTTCCTCACGAAAATGTGCCACTTTAAGTCGTATAACCACCTTGTGAGGGGGCTCTAGCCTGAGTGATAGTGGAAGTTAATATTGTGTTATTTTAGACGCAATGTTGTCTGTTTTTCTCAATTTTGCCAACAATATAAAGACAAAGCAGAACTGTTCGTCTCCGAGCAACACACAGCGGCATTTCATTTCTTAATGCACGTTTTGAACAAATTGGGTGAGTCATTTATTTAAAAGCATCTCAACCCGCTCAGAAGCAGTTCAGAGTTGTGGCATAAGGGACACAATGTCTCTGTTCCTTCCATCAGGGAATGAGGGTTGCCATATGTAACTGAGATACAACCTATGGACTCACTAAAAGGGAGTTCTACATAGGGAAGGTTTCTGTGAGGACAACTACCAAGCACTGAACCAGGCGACAGACAGGGAAACACTGAGACTCAGGGAAACACTGAGTCTTTATTAGGAAAATGACAGTGGATTAATTAATTTCCTTCCTTGAAAGGAATAGCTTGCAGGGTCACCACTTGGTCCATCAGGGGAGTAGTGGCAATCTTTGGCATGCATCCAGGCCGGGGTCTCAGAATAATGTAAGAGTTTGCTGGCCCGAATTCTAGGCACGTTTTGTAAACAGAGAGGGCTTAGATTTTTCATCTTCTCAGTGAGTATAGTCAGGAAGACATCTTCGTAGAGAGGAACTAATTAAACTGACTGGAAGGCTCAACGGATCTCTTTCTGTAAGGCCTCAAGGCCACTGAGAGATCCCAAGAGAGGATGAGGCGCGTTCTAGGAGGATTCAGCCTCTGCGCACCTCATAAGATCCTAATAACCAGATCGTGCTTCCCCACCAATCTGCCACTCACAGGTCCGTGGCTCACCACATACACCCTGAGTGTAAATGCAGAAGGGTGTCTGTCCAGGCCCTCTTGGAGCAAGGACAGCACTGATCCGATACCACATCTCCACGGGTCCTTCCCTTGGGAAGAATGCCTTTTTCCTCACGAAAATGTGCCACTTTAAGTCGTATAACCACCTTGTGAGGGGGCTCTAGCCTGAGTGATAGTGTTCACCACTGTAGGGGAAAGACCTCTAATCCCAGCTCATCCCATTGAGGGACTGAGTATGGGGATTCCAGAGATCTGGGCACGGGTGCCAAATAGTGCCTTTGCAATGAGGCTCACTGGGGAAGATGCATACTTGCGTAGGCCCCCAGGCCAGCTGTGAGCCCGTGCGTCCGTGCTGAGGGAGGTCTCAGATTGGGAACCACAATGGGAAAAGGAAGGAATCCTGTGAGGCAACAGATGTGTCTGTGCATGACTGAATCATTCCAATCAGCTGAACCGTCTGGGGATGGAGCCTCCGCTCATCTCGGAGAGAAACCTGTCGCAAGAGTGATTCCGCTGTGCGAATGAGGTCACCCAGAATGTGAGTGGTTTGCAGAAACCTAAGTTCAGCTGGCTCCAGGAGGAGATGACGGGCGAGTTGTGGCATACGACGGGAGCGACTACTACCCTGGTGGCTGCCGTCGCTGTGCGGTCCGTCCGAACTAGCACGTGCTTGTCCTGGATCAACTGTCAAGACCTACCCAAGAAAAAAGCACTGCCAACAACTTTTGGGCAATCGACTGCCCGTGCAGACAGGAACCGAACAGGTCCCTAAGGCTGCATGCCCATTGCATGAAGCACCTCAACCTATCCTGGAATCCGTTGTTAGAACGGTGCTTTTGGACACTGATCTAGAGGCACAACCTCCCATAGAAACAGAGGTCGTTCCAAGGACTGGAATGAGACAGCACCTCGTGTGAAAGCCACATGGTGCGAGTCACTGAGCCATGCTCATCTCAGAACTCGGTCATACAGGCAGCGCTGAAGCAATCTTATAAGCATCTTCTGCTGGCATGATGCGATCAAGGATGCCATACCCCAGGAGCCTCTTAATAATTCAAGAGTAACCGCTACTCCGTGCTTGGAACCCCCAAGCAACTCAGCACTGTTGGAGCACAGACCTCCTCGAGATGTGCTGCCTGGAAACCGAATCCAATTTCATACCATAAAAAGAGGTGCTCTACCCAGTGGAGAACTTACTCTTTTCCCAGCTGACCTGAAGGCCCATTTGGACTGGGTGATGGTGTAACATGTCCCTGTGTACACCCACCAAGTCTCGAGAGTGCGCAAAGAAGCCAGTCAACAAGACAATTGAAGGTGTGAGCACCCACTTCCCTGAGAGGGAACTGGTGGTGTAACCTAGCTGTGAGAAGATAGTCGTTAGTCGGGCTTAACCACCGGTAGGGTCAGTGCAGTTCTTGCAGGGTGTCCCCGGCGACAAGCAGGTGGAGATTGCTACATTGGGGGTCCAAGGATAGAACCCGACCCAAGCCGAGGCAGAATACTTCCACCCGCTTGCTGACTGTCGAGAATTGCTGGGCAAATTCTTCCGAAGGTGTCACCAGAGAGACCAACCTGGGAAATAGGGGCATCAAGAAAGCAAACTTTCTCAGAACCCACATCCCCGTCAGGTTGAACCACAGGTGGCACTTCTGAGCCACTAATGTGGACATAGCCCTCCCAAGAAGGAGTCTGTTGTCTGATGGGAGTCTCGGACTGCCCCAGCAGGTGGCAGCATTTTTCACGCAAAATGCACCACGATCGCTCTCTCCATCGGAGGACCCCCTTATATCCCTTCGCTGAACCGACGTCAAGGGTGGTGATAAAGAACGCGAGCCCTGAGCGCACCGTGCTGACAGCCATGTCCTCACAAGAAGGACATAAACCATCCACAAAATCTGCTTCAGCATGGGCGCAGCTCGTGCCTGTCAGAGGGTGAGATGTACAAACCGCAACCAGAAGGGCATGGATGGAAAGGCATGTTGTAAACACACACAAATCCACCGTGAAGCTCTTTTAGGAGGAAATTTTCTCTCAGAGATCGGCGTTGAAGCACCCAGGGGTACTCTCACTACACTTATCTGTGTATGAACAAGGGAGAAACTGCTGCTTGTGCCATAGATCGAGGAGATTGAGAGGTGAATCTCCAAAAGAGATGCTACATTGGCTCCGAAGAACAGAACGAGTGAGCAAATGCCATGCTGGCCTATTCATACCCGGATATCTGGGGCATGGCCAGCTATGCAAATTCTGCTCGCCAATTTCATTGGCCTTTTCTCAATGATGTCAGAGGTGTCTTGGCTCCCAAGTGCAGCCCCTAGTGTTGGAACTTGGACACAACTTTGAAGTGACCGACTGAAAGGGAACTCTGAACTATCAATCAGATGACAGAAGGCATGGCGTAGATTGTGTGAAACAGCAAAGTTTGATCATGTTGATCATTTAGAGCTTTAGAAATTCATGATCAAATATGATACAGTAGCTTTATAGGGTTAAAATAAATGCAACTCTTCTAGAGTCTAATGGAGATCTGACAGAATTAGTGGTCATGTAATGCTTTCAGTTGCAGTGATCTTATATAAATTGATGTGTATATATATATCTGTCACTCACTGCTGAACCTGATCTCCCCGGCAGCCCTGGCATCCCAGCTTCTCCTTTCTCTCCTCTGAAACCCTGGTCACCTTTACCAGCCTGACACAGACATGCATTCAACAACAACAGGTCAATGCAGTTCCTCAATCTCTATTTAATCAATGTTGAAACGCTCTCAATATCTGTGAGAGAATGTCTGATGAAGAATGTCTAGATGAAACTCACCGTGACTTTGGTTCCCAGTGTGTCGCCTATGAGAGAACAGATCAGAGCATTAGAAACACGCGTGAGTTCAGAACGACATGCAACAAACACCTCAAAGTCAAGCTGTTCTAGGAAAGAAGGTGTGGTGTGATGTGACTGTCAGGTACATACCGGAGGAGGATGATGATGATGATGATGGCAGAGCTCTCTCCTGTCCAGACGATGAGCTGCTGGCGCCCTCTACAGGTCAGAACCACACAATCAACACAAACCGTCAGAACACCAGCAAACAGATCATACTGACAAAAACTATTCCAAATATGTAACATTAAAATTTGACATTTTAAAAATGAAAATAGTTGTTATTATTTTTGAAAATTACAGATTGTAGAAAGTACATCAAGTTCACATTTAAGCAAAATAGAGGAGTAATCATTAAGCAGACAAAACCATTGCCTGATTCATTCTAAGTAAAAAATGACAAAAATAATCTGATCTGATTCTAATGTGAATTCGTTTTAACAAGAAAAGTGAGACAAAAAGTGAAGATTATTTTGTACTGCTAAAAACACTACCATCCAATAGTTTGGGGTTGGTACATTATTTTTAATGTTTCTGAAAGAAGTCTCTTCTGCTCACCAAGGCTGCAACTGTAACAAATGTCTTTACTGACCCTTTTGAGCAATTTAATGCATCCTTGATGAGTAACTGTATTAATTTCTTTAAAAAAAAAATCATACAGTGCTCAAACGTTTGATCAGTAGTGTATGGTAATCAGAAAACATCTCTTAAAACTCACCTTGTGTAGAATCACTGTTAACCTTACCAAAAGAAAAGAAAGACAAATAAGTGTTAATATAACCGGTGAGAAACAGTGTTAATTCAACACATCACGACAGAAACCATCTGGATGTGAGTACACACACTGGATGAATATGGAAGACAGAGGAAAGGTCAGTCATGTTCTGATGTTCATGAGATGAAGTATTTCAGCAGCAGATGCTCAGGTGTGGTTGTGAAGGTCTTGCACAACAAGCAACAACTAAAACTTTTCCATTCGGAAAACCAAACATGTAATGCTCGTTCCATTTGGAGATCATGGCATACGAGAACACAGCAGAGTCCGGAGAAGCATGAAGCGTTTATGTCCTCAGCACACCAGCAGCATGATCATGAGCATTCCTCTGTCCGTATGACATGCAGCATGCTGAAATGACTGCCATACAGATGCCTGTGTGGATTATGGACCATACGCACTGAATGCTGGGATATGCACAACTCTCCAGCCTTCATATGTCCAATTACAGAGTGATAAAACAGTCACAAATCTGAGATTACAGCTGCATTATGTGCTCATTTTAGATCATTATCCACAGCATGCATCACTATTCAAACATAACGTGTGTTTACTATGAAATCACTGACTCAGAAACAGCCACTGGAGCTTTGCTTTGACTCTGTGAGTCTCAACATACAGCGGCTGCACTGAAGGAATGCTGAGAGATATACGATACATAAACACTATAAATGCACTGTCCATAAGCCATATCAGTCCTTAAACGCATCTTGAAAAGGACAACAGCACCTCATGCCATAGATAAAGGGAAAATGGTCATATAAAGAAAGATAATGATGCATGAAATCACATATTTGCCCCTTTGACATCCATTAAGTTCATATAAAATGCACTTAATGAATTGGTTATTAGCAGAGACAGTTGAAATGTGCATTACACTTAAGATGGGTCTAGTGTGCATTAGTTAAAAGGTCTTCACTTTTAATTATGACAAATCAACTGAAATGTGGAGGAATAATTATTGAGCAGAGTTAGAGTGAGTTTAAAGACGACGATGATGATGATGATGACGATGATATTGAGCTGTAGACAGTGCGTCACACACATCAGTCACTCACGGGTATTTTGCAGCCGGGTCGAGGAGGGACTGGAAACACGGTCTACAGAAACATGAGGGAAAGTGACACTGAGCAACAGCACAGAGCATCTGTGTGTATGAGACAGAGACAGAGACAGAGACACACTCACTCCGTTAGGACAGCTGAAGATTCCCGCTCGTCCTGGAGGCCCCGGCGGCCCCGGCGGGCCCTTCAGACAAAAACAAAACATACACGATTTACACCATCACAAACTATTACCAAACCTCATCGACCAGAGATCTACAGCAGATGGGTGGAGCAAGAGATTTCAACACGCACCCATCTTACTAATGAAGGAAAGCGAGTAGCACAACAGTCTGCTCTCCGCTTCTAAATGCTTACAGACACTTGTTGTTATGCAGTTTGTGTAACTGCCCTGCACATCCTTGATCTTTTAGATAAAGCTGCTCATTTCTTTTTTGTAGAGTATGTATGTAGAGGTAGACAGTGAGGCCCACTTTAAAGAAATAGTTCACAAAAAAAAAAAACATGTAAATTTGCTGCACATGTACTCATCCTCAGACCATGAGTTTGTTTGTTCATCAGGTTTGGAGAAATGTAGCACTGCATCAGTGTCTCAGCAATGGATGCTCTGCAGTGAATGGGTGCCGTCAGAATGAGAGTCCAAACAGCTGATAAAAACATCACAATAATCCACAAGTAATCCACAGCACTCCAGTCCATCAGTTAACATCTGGAGAAGACAAAAACTGAAACTAATCCAGCATTAAGACGTTTTTAACTAAAATACCATAGAGTAGAGGGCTGCATTGGGTTTGGGCTCCCGCGGGACGGTGGGATTTGGCGTGTAGTAGAAATAGAGTCAAAACAAGAAGTTGAGAAGAGAATTAAAGCGGCTGTTTACTTGACAAAAGCAAAGCAAGGCAAGTCAGATATCTGGAAACAATTCTCAATTGTCACTGAAAAAAATGGGACAGAGTTAAACTTTGTACGTTGCGATAAAATTTTCAATGAATTTAAATTTAAATATACTTTGACTTTTTTTCGTTCGGCATTTTGGTTCTTGTACATTTTTGGGAAAAGACATGACATGGTTTGAGAAACAGAGAGCTCAACAATCTAGTTTTGTTACTGAAGTGCCATTTAAAATATCCATATCCATATATAAATTTTTTAAACAATAATGTATTAAAACTTTCAAGACAGACAAAGCATGAGCTTCAAGGCTGCTAAACGATGACATATGCTTCTGTAGTAATCAGTGCCATTTCATTTGAAAATGGGTGAAAAATATGTTTCAGAAATATATATAAACTCACAGGTAAACCGACAGAATCTCCTTTTTCACCCTTACGGCCGTTAATTCCTGGACGACCCTGAAGAAACACAGCATCACATCCATAATTACAACCATAACACACTGTGTATATACATATCTTCAAACGTTTGGGGAATTAAAGAAATTAACACTTTTATTCATCAAGGACGCATTAAATGGATCAAAAGTGACAGTAAAGACATTTATAATGTTACAAAAGATCTCTATTTCAAATAAATGCTGTTCTTTTGAACTTTCTATTCATCTGTGAATCCTGAAAAATAAAATGCATCACAGTTTCCACAGAAATATTGTGCAGCACAACTGTGTTCAACATTGATAATA